AGGAATCTGGAGTCACAGAAGCCAGGGCCTGTATCCCGATCAACCACCCCTCTGCAACCCTCTAGACAGTGCTTGCTGCATAAACCAGAACTTACCCATGTCCCATGAAGACCTCAGGGCCTGACTGCTGTGTGGGATGAGCACTGAAATAAGGGCAGTGAGCACCAGGCACGGTCTCGTGAGTGGTACTGATGCTTTGCAAATTGGGATTTCAATGTCACCGCTCTCTGAGCCGGAATTGCATCGCGAGAGTGTGGGAACAAGAGAGGGTGGACACGGCTGGGTGTTGATTCCTTGAGTAAAGTTGACTCTCGTGGCATTCCTAAGCCTCGGTCTGCACAGTGGGGCAGCAGTCAGGATGGTTGTGCTTTTGGATGGTGCCGGCTCTGGCTCTATGCATTAGGCCTGGTTGTGGCTTCCTACTTTCACTCTTTCCTCCCCTTCGAGTGCAGGATGAACCTGAGTAAGTTAGCTGTCTCCCATCTAAACGGGAACACATATATGGACCTTCCCCTTCCCCATTTGGGGCTACTCTTCCAGAACTTTCTGCCTTCCAGCGCTCAAGTACCACTGGTCCTCCAAGATGGATTGCATGGACCACTGCAGCTTCTGGAGCACCCAGGCTGCTTCCTGCGGGGGCACGAACTCAACCAAGTGTGCCACACACTGCTGTATATCCACAGCAGTGACCTGATAGAAAGTACAAGGAGACTAGGCAAAGGCAGAACATAACCCAGCCAAGCGCAGAAGACTTGGACAGGTGGGTCTGGTTCCCCCATCTGATGCCCAAAGGTCCCAGAGGATCGAGTGAGGTTCCATCTCCTCTTTCACTAAATTGATTGGCATGTAAACAAAGCTGGTAACTGAACAGAAGTTATCAAAGAGACAAAACCCACTCCTACATCTTGGATCCTTCGACAGGAAAGGGGGAAGGACACTGAGAAACATTTTCATACGGATCAGCTGAGCAGCTAATTTCAAGCTTGGAGGTATTAAAACTGTTGCACAGCTTGAACAATCTCAACCTGAAAACGAAGTCCCTCCCTGCAGCTAATTTCTATAATTTCAGGGGCTATTACTTGTAAACCAGGAGAGTGGAAACTATGTAATTCTACATACCAGATGTGAATTCTAAAAGCATTAATTATTGTGAAAATTCATTATGGCCCATACAAATTTCATTGGAAGTGTTATCAATGTGTTTCCCCTTCAAATGCATATTTATTTCCTCGTACAGTCTTACTCAGAAGCAGTTAGAAGTGATGGGTATAAAGGTTGATCCATGGATTTGAAATGCTGTGTTCATTATTTTAAGCCTTAATGAACTGTTTTGGGAAAAAAATCAATTTATTGTTTCCTAGTCTTACATTAATTAAAAAAGTACATCTCATAATGGGCCTCCCCTTTACTTTTCTGAAAGAAACACAACTATAATATATAATTTGAAGCCATACTGTTGACACTCTGAATGAATAAACCATGAAATAACATTTTTCCACTATAAGATACAATGAATGTTATACCATAGCAATTTATTATGCTAAATCTGCTCTTCCAATATGACCCCTAGACCCATAAAAGCATTTAAATAACAACAATACACACATATATTTTAAATTTAATTATTTACAACTGACTCTCGTCTTTTCTGAGGATTCGTGTCCTTATTCAACAATCAAAATGTCACACTGTGAATAGAAGCCGGGAATAAAACAGAACACTGATAGCTTTTGTAAGCTCCCTCTCTCTCTCTCCCTCTCCTCCTCCCTCTCTCCCTTCCTCCATTTCTCTATTCTCTGTCTGTCTGTCTCCCTCCCTCTTTCCATCTCTCTCTCCCCCTCTCTCTCCTCCCTCCTTCCCTCCCTCCCTCTTTCCCTCCTTCCCTCCCTCCCTCCCTCCCTCCCTCCCTCCCTCCCTCCCTCCCTCCCTCTTTCTTCCCTCCCCGCCTCCTCTGAAGAGAAACACAGAACCACGTAATACTGAACACAGATTCCAACCACACTTGGGTATCTGAAGGCAAATGATCTTCTGACACAAATGCTGCAAAGTAGACATAGCTGAGTGAAAGAGCAGCACCGGCCAAGATCCTCGCCCAAAAATGCAGTAAAAACTCAACAAGTGGCACAACTTATAAAAGACTCTGGGAAATCACTCAAGGCAGGACTTCAGGGGCCTCTCCCTAGGAAGGACCCTCCCCCATCCCTGAATTTCCTTGGCTCTTTTGCTTAAAGACCAGAAGCAGGAAATAACGCTGGGGGTCTGCAGGGCCACCCAGGCAGTGTCCTCCTGCCGGGGCGGGGAACACAAGCTCCCTCTCTGGAACAAAACAGAACCTACCCTTGGACTTGTTCCTCATCTCTGGCCAATAGGACCTGGAAGCACCTGACTTGGGGAGAGAAGCAGTCACTGTGGGTCGAGAAAATCTAACAAACACACACAACATCCAGAGAAAGGGTCAAAAGTGCTCAGGAAGAAGCTAAAACCATCCCAGCTGTAAATAATAATATTCTGACTTAAAGGTCCCGGAAGGAAGAGAGCAGCGTGGAATGCCTTCAAGAGTGTCTAAGAAATAGCTAAGAGGACAAAGAACCTCTGGCTCTGGGCACATCTCTTCGATTCCACTGTACTTCCTGTATTAACATACGCCTCAGAGACCTGGGCCCTACGAAAACAGGATGAGAAGACTATTCGGGTCTCCCAAAGAGGAATTGAAAGCACTATGCTTGGAGTATCAGGCTTCACTCAAGTGAAAGAAGGAATCAGAGTTCTGACCTCCGTCGACGGTCAAGAATTGGGGACGCTGTCTCGTTTGCTAAAGCATCAAAAATCAGATGTGCTGGACACGTGATATGATTTGGAGATAACCACTGAACTAGAGCCGTTACGGACTGGATTACACAGGACGTCAAAAGATTGTGTGGCTGCCCACCTACGAGATGGTCAGACTTCTTCATCAAGACCCTGAACGACTGGTTTGAGGCTCTTTGTGTTCCTGTAGTGAGCAGACACCATTGGGCTACACTAGTACGCAACAGAGACCAATGGAGAGGTTACTGGCGCCCACTCCAGCAAATCGATGAGTAACAGGATAGCAAATGATCAACTGAAAGGTTTCATATTCAACCAACATTTTTCAGAAATGCGAACCATGCACCTGTGTAATGGAAAGCCAGTGTGCTAACAGCACACATGAAGACAGACCTAGGTATAATTTGATGCAAGGCCAGATTAGCATGACTGTCACCCAGCACCCACAGAGTAATAATGACGATGGTTCCGGGGCACAACTTAATGATGGATTGACCTGCTCAGAGTGACAAAAGAGCCATTAGTGGGCCGCACAGGACAGGCAGAGGAGCAGATGCAGAGTCACGGCAAGGCCAGACTCACAGACACCCCAGCCAAGCCAGGGACAGGCAGAGCCTGCACTCAAATTACAGTGAATTTACCAGGAGATGATCAAAGGTGTAGAGATCCTGAAGGAGTGTTTACAGGAGAATTATTCACTACAGGGGGTGGAGCAGTCATAGCAGGAAGGGCCCTTCCCTCCCACAGCAGGCCTGGGTTTGATCCCTGGCATCCCGGATGGTCCCCTGAGCTCAGCAGGAGTGACCCTGAGTACAGAGTCAGGAGTGAGCCCTGAACATGCCAGGTGTGGCCCCAGCCACCCCCCAAAAGTAATAATAATAATAATGATAATAATAATGATAATAAAGGAGCTGGAGCAATAACACAGTGGGTAGGGCGTTTGCCTTGCATGCGGTCGACCCGGTTTTGATTCCCAGCATCTCATATGGTCCCCCAGTACTGCCAGGAGTAATTCATGAGTGCATGGGCCAGGAGTAACCTGCCTCACTGGGTGTGACCCAAGAAGAAAAATAATGATAAAGTTTTAAAAAGCCAATAATATTTATGAGAGACAGAAAAACGATTTTACTGTAAAGCAGAAGTGACTATTAAATTCAAAGAAGGGAGAAATAAGGAAGCAAGATTTAAAAACATATTAATTGTACAGAGAACGTGTAATAGTTAAAAATCAATATCTTTGCCTTGAAATTAGTAAAATGAATACATTTCTAGAAAAGGGATGACAATGCCAGAGGGATGAAGGCTGGTGCCAGAGCATTGTCCCGCCCCAGGCCCTGATGGCGTGCTGGGCGGGGCTGGTGGACCAGGGGAGCTGCCTCCCTCTAAGGCCTCAGATGCAAGTGGTTGGCGACTCAGGTAGTTGGCGAGAAGAGGGCGGGAGAGGGAAGCGGGTCTCTGTGTCTGGGTTGCTGAGGAATTCTTAGGGCTGTCCTGGGGGTGTGGGGTCTGTCCTGGCTCCTCCCCTTCCCAGCTATCCCGGGGTCAGGAACGTAGCGCATAGAACATAAAGCAGGGGCCCTTCCCTGGCTGGACCACTGTCCCTAGCCAGGCGCTGGTTCCCTGTTGGAGCCAATTCAGCCAGACAGGATGATTTGCAAGATATAAGGCTCCATCCAGCCTCTCAGAAACCTTTGTGCTGTGGTTTCAACTCCCTGCAGTCATTCTTCAAGGGCAATTTCTCTTAATTTTGAGAGTATGATCATGAAAGCTGCAAAGCCATTTGAGGAAAGTGTAAATTCAATACTGTTCCTTCTTATTTACACAGCTTCCATTCCACGGGCTTCTGCAGAGGTTGTGTGTTCAAATAACGACACTGCACAGACTCATCTTAACTGAGACAGGGACCGAGGGCAAACACAGCCACAGGAGACGACAGCTCAGAATCTTCTAGGACTGTGATCACAGAATTACACATTACAACTGCACAGAAATATTTTGATGAAAGAAGGTTCCCTTTCAATATCAGAGTGAATTAAAATCAGCATTACATAAATTTCCATTGCATTAGAATTTCCTAGACATAATTTGACAATATTTGGTTTTCCCTCATAATCATCCCTGTCATACAAATAGATGTGTCTGATGAGTTTTACTCAGGCAATACTAAAGGATATTTTAAAATTTATACTCACCACAGTAGAATAAATCTGAAGGTCCTTGAATGGATTAACGAGCAAGAGGATATCCCCAATAAAAGTCTGTAAAGAAAGTATATAATTAGTTTATGAAATATATAAGTGGCAACTTTAAAATAGAACTGATTTTTAAGTCACTATGGAAATTCTAAGTAAAAGCCATATTTTCGACATTGTTTTTAAATACATAAAGATAAAAAGTCAAATTCAAACAAAGTTACTGACTTATCCCATTGTTAGATAAAGAGTAAAAATAGCAAACCTTAAGAATTTTTAAAGTTTTGGAGAACCGGTTGAATTATAATATATAAAATATTACATACGAAAAAACAGCAGAGGAAGAAAATGGAGTAATTATTTTGATGTTGCCATAGAACAAAAATGAAATTCCTACAGTAAATAAAGCACAGAAATCAAAACACTTTTTAATTTCAAAAGAAAGTGGTGGGCTATATACACACAGAGAGGAAGAAATCGATGCTAAAATGTTAGAGTGAAAGTCAAGCGTATTAATAACTACAGAAAATGGAAGGGAGTCACATAGTCTGCTAAAAAAAACAAAGATCATGAACAAAAAATATTACATATGACTTAAAAAATACTTTAAATATGAAGACTGAGATCATCTGAATTAAAAGAACAAATCAAGCCGTATAGGCAAACAGTAGTAAGACCAAAAAAAGAAAAGGTAAAAAGATGGCTTAGTAATTTCAACTCAGAAAACTATGGGACCCCGTATTCTGTGCAGGCCCATTTGGATATTTATAAAATTATTCCTAGATCCAGGCTGGAGTGACAGCATAGCAGGAAGGGCATTTGCCTTGCAAGCGGCCAACATAGCCGACTCGAGTTCGATTCCTCCGCCCCTCTTGGAGAGCCTGGCAAGCAGCCAAGAGGATTTCGCCCGCACGGCAAAGCCTGGCAAGCTGCTCGTGCCGTATTCGATATGCCAAATACAGTAACAATTGTCATAATGGAGATGTTACTGGACCCGCTCAAGCAAATCAATGAACAACGGGAGGACAGTGACAGTGATTCCTAGACCACGTGGTTCAGGCAGACAGTCTGTCGGCAGCCAAGGAGATGCGTCTGGCCTGTTGTGTCAAGGGATAAGGCCCACTGGCTGATGTCCCCACTCCTGTCTTAAAGCAGTATTTATGATTAAAAAAGATATTTCACTATGAAAAATGAGAAACACATTAAGAAACAAAGGCAGTTTAAAATTATATGTGTGTACACTTATATGCAGAAGAAAACAGAAATTGATAAGGATTTGAGGAAATTTAAACTTTTTTTCTGAGTAAGCTATATAAGGAATTATAAAGAAAAATTTGAAAGAACAAATGATCAAGTTGATAATAAACTTTATTCGGTTGGTTTGTGCTATGGGCTGACTCCCGCTCCTGTGCTCAGGGCTCCCTCCCGGAGATACTCAGGGGACTGTACATAGTGCCGGGATTGAATTAAACAGGAGTTGGGTTGCATGAAAGGGATAAGGCCTGTACTATTTCTCTGGCCCAACAAACTAACTTTGAAAGAATGCTGCTGCTAGCCAAAACCACAGAACATACATTCCTCTAAAGTGAGCACAGACCAAATTTATTCCCTGTCAAAGAGCTGAGCCATATGATGTATCACAGTTACGGGTCACGGTTCTCCCGTTGTTCATCGATTTGCTCGAGCAGGCCCAGTAACGTCTCCATTGTGACACTTGTTACTGTGTTTGGCGTATCGAATACATCACGGGTAGCTTGCCAGGCTCTGCCGTGCGGGTGAGATACTCTCGGTAGCTTGCCGGGCTCTCCGAGAGGGGTGGAGGAATCGAACCTGGGTCGACCATGTAGGCCACATGCAAGGCAAACGCCCTACCCGCTGTGCTATCATGTTCTCTGATAATGGCAGAATTAAGCGGTAAATCAGTAGCAGATGCCTAGAAAATCACCAAATGTTTGAAAACATATACTATTAGCAAACGACCTGTGAGGGAGTCACAATGCAAATCAGAAAATATCTTTTCTAGGGAAAAAATGTATTTATTAGGAATTTGGGGAGCAGGAATGTGGATCAATGTGGAACACATGCTCTGCATGTATGTGACCTGGAGTCCATTCCCAGGCCCCCACACACATACACACATGCACGCACACGCACATGCACACAGCAAAGAAAAGGCATTTGGAGAATTGCATCATTGTATCACTGTATCACTGTCATCCTGTTGTTCATCGATTTGCTCCAGTGGGTGCCAGTAATGTCTCCATTTATCCCAGCCCTGAGATTTTTGCAGCCTCTCCTTACTTGTCCTTTCCAACGGTGCCTTATTGAAGGCTCTTTCAGGATCAGGGGAATGAGAGCCGTTATTGTTACTGTTTTTGGCACATCGAATATGCCACGGGGAGCTAGCCAGGCTCTGCCGTGCAGGTGGGATACTCTCAGTAGCTTGCTGGTCTCTCTGAGAGGGACGGAGAATGCATATAAGAGAATACAAGCAAGTATGAATGAAAAGGCATTTGGAGAATTGCATAATAAGAAAAAAATAGTCTGGTTCCATCATATCATTTATGAGATACAGCTGAACGCACACTTGGTATGAAAATTATCTCCTGCAAGTCATGTTATGAAAAATAAAACACCCCAAAATCTTATAATTAATGATATAAGTGTCCATTTTCAAGAAACTTAAAAACTACATAAAAATCATCACCAATATTCGAGCAAAAATAAATAGACTATAAAACCAAAACCAAAGGTGAGCTTTTGAAAAATCTATCAAAATGGAAGAACCTGAAGGCCAAGGAAGGTCACAGAGAAACTAAGGAGCAACATTCCAAATAGCCCTCACTGCAGAGATGCTACAAACCAGCAACATCCCAAATAGGACCTCACTGGAGAGACGCTACAAACTAGCAACATCCCAAATAGGATCTCACTGCCGAGACGCTACAAACTAGCAACATCCCAAATAGGACCTCACTGCAGAGACGCTACAAACTAGCAACATCCCAAATAGGACCTCACTGCAGAGACGCTACAAACTAGCAACATCCCAAATAGGACCTCACTGCAGAGACGCTACAAACTAGCAACATCCCAAATAGGACCTCACTGCAGAGACGCTACAAACTAGCAACATCCCAAATAGGACCTCACTGCAGAGACGCTACAAACTAGCAACATCCCAAATAGGACCTCACTGCAGAGACGCTACAAACTAGCAACATCCCAAATAGGACCTCACTGCAGAGATGCTACAAACTAGCAACATCCCAAATAAGACCTCACTGCAGAGATGCTACAAACCAGCAACATCCCAAACAGCACCTCACTGCAGACTCTATACAGGGAGACATAGAAAGACACACTTGGAGTCACTGAGTCCCCAAGTTCAAATCTTTATACATACATATATATATATATATATACAAACACACATACACATATATATGTACAGGCACACATATATGTATATTCAGAGGCCTTATATAAGTTTGATGTTAAAAAATCAAACTAGCATACAGTAACAAGGTACAATTACACGTTGCTATCTCTTGCTAAAATGCAATTTAAAATCCTGAACAAACACTGGCAGGTTGAATGCAGTAATAATCCAACAGATAAAACATTTCAACCAAATAGGTTCTATGCTCTAATGCAAGTTTAATTTCAGATGAGAAAATCAACATTTGTCATTTATAATGCTACAAAATAGGTCATGTAAATCATTTTTTTAAATTCTGAAATTGGGGGCTGGGGCGATAGCACAGCGGGTAGGGGGTTTGCCTTGCACGCAGCTGACCCGAGTTTGATTCCCAGCATCCCATATGGTGGTCCCCTGAGCACCACCAGGCATTTGAAAGTAAGAGGCAGGGGCCACAGAAACAGTCCAGTGGGTAAGGCACTTGACTTGCATGCGGCTGACTTGGGTTTGTTCCCTGGCAGCACATACAGTGCACATATCCCTGAGCCCTGCCTGGCATAATCCCTGAGCACAGAGTCAAGAGCACTGCTGGCTGTGTCTCCCCAAGTTAAAGCATAGATGGTTTTAAAGTTAACAAAAGCTGCTGGACTCATTTGTGGAATGTAAAGTAACAGAATGGGAGACTAACACCCAAGGATAGTAGAGGTAAGGACCAGGAGGATGGCTCCACAGCTTGGAAGCCAGCCTCACATGCTGGGGGAAAAGGCAGCTCAGATAGAGAAGGGACTACCAAGTAACGGGTGCTAGGAGGGCTCATTCGGGATGGGAGATGCGTGCTGAAAGTAGACTATAGACTGAATATGATGGCCACTTAATACCTCTATTGTAAAACACAACACCCAAAAGGAGAGAGAGAGAGCAAAAGGGAATGTGTCTGCCACAGAGGAGGTGCGGGGGTGGGGGTGAGGCAGGGGGTGGGTGGGAAGGATGCTGGGAACATTGGTGGTGGAGAATGGGCACTGGTGGAGGGATGGGTACTCAACCACTGTATGACTGAAATGCAAGCACAGAAGTTTTTAAGTCTATGTCTACCCCTCTCTTTCTGACTCATTTCGCTTAACATGATACTTTCCATGTAGTACCACTTGTATGTAAATTTCATGACTTCATTGCATTCATCTGGGGAACATAAAGTAACAAAATAGGAGACTAACACCCAAGAGTGGCCGAGATTAGTACCAGGAGTTTTGCTCCATGGCTTGGAGGCCAGTTACATATGCTAAGTACTCTGATGATTCTTCTGGTACTCTGATGATTCTTATATATGCCAGAAAGAGAGGGACAGACATAGAAAGATTGCACTCATTTGTGGAATATAAAGTAACAGAATGGGAGACTTAACACCCAAGGATTATAGAGATAAGGAGAAGGAGGTTTACTCCACGGCTTGGAAGCTGGCCTCACATGCTAGGGGAAAAGGGAGCTCAGATAGAGAAGGGAGCACCAAATAAAGGGTGTTTTGAGGATCCTCCCAGGATGGGAGATGCATGCTGAAAGTAGACTATAGGCCAAACGATTGCCACTCAATGCCTCTTTTGCAAACCACAGCACTCAAAAGGAGAGAGAGAACAAAAGGGAATACCCT